TCTGTCGATGCCGTCAGAACGGCATTGGCTGCAGAACATGCCTTTTGGCGACGACATCAGAAGGGTTCGAAACCTCCCTGCGTTTTCCCTCTCAGGCAATTTGTGATGCCTGTGCCACCCCGTGGCAAACCACCCGAGAGAGGTGGTTGGTCACGAGATGGCAGAGGCATCGGCCAGTTGGGAAAACCGCTTCCTCACCCTACTGAAAAGAAAACAGCAACCAAAGGCGCCCGTGTAAAAAGAGGCCTGAAACCCTAATCGCAAACATCCGCTCATCGCTAAAGCAGGGTTGTGGGGAACGGTTAGTTTTTTGTTTTTCGATCACTTTTAGCCCAACCCTCGCCCAGCTTGCTGCTAAAATTTTTGCACAGCCCGTGACGAAACTGTTGCAACAGGGGGCGGAAGTCTCGCTTCTCGGGCCCCCGCTTTCCTCAGACGAAATGCGAAATTTCTTACACAGGGAAAATGCTTCGAGAGCCAGGGGAAGTTTCTAGCGGCAGAAAATGATGCCGCTGCCATGCCAATGCCACCTGCCTGCAGAACAGCGCCATCAGGTTCTGACAGGTGCTCGCCGAGGCCAGCCTTGTGGCCGCACCCACCCTCCTGGTCAGTGCTTTGCTCAGCTCACTGACACGGTTCGCTTGGCCTTCGGCGTTGGCGGCCCTGCCCCTGACTGGTTTCCTCTTGTTCAGACGCACGGCTCCGCCCTTTGGGGCATGTCGGCTTCTCAGTTGCTTGATCTCTTAGGAACTCCTCATGCTATGTATGCTGTTGTTGTCTCTAGTGCTTCTGACTTTGTTTACTCGAGTGTTGTTAGCTTAGGTGCTAGTCTTGCTGAGTTACCTATTGCTAGTGTAGGCACTTGTGTAGGCACTAGTCCGGGCGCTACTTCGGAGGACGCTTCGCTGTCTTTCACTTTGGACTCTGGGGCTTCGCACTGCTTCTTCCGCGACCACACGACACTTACGCCACTTCCTGCGCCTGTCTCTGTGGCACTGGCTGATCCCACCTCGGGACCAGTCACTGCTCGCTACACTACTACTCTTCCGTGCCCTGCTGTTCCCTCTGGGTCTCAGACTGGCTTTCACGTCCCCTCGTTCTCGAGGAACTTGGTGGGCGTGAGGCCTCTTGTGAGTCAGCACGTGGGTGTGTGGATTGAGCCCTCTGGTGAGACGGCGGTTTGTGTTGACGGCGACACTTACTCGCCTCTTGCCACCTTTACTGCTGAGCCGGGCTCTGGTCTCTACACACTTCACACTGGCCCTGGTGGGCAGCAGCCGCAGCAGCAGCAGCAGCAGCAGCAGCGACTCCTGCCCCCGGCCCCAGTTCCTTCCCCCAGTCTGATCCCTGCGTCTCACCAGGTTGCTGCGTCCCCCCAGGTAGCTGTGTCTGGTCAGGTTCCCGTGTCTGGTCCAGTTGCTGCGTCTTGCTCCTGCCGGTCACTTGCCCACCCCACCGTTCTGTGGCACCACCGGATGGGGCACCCGTCCCTTCCTCGTCTGCGCGCTATGTCTCGTCAGCGTCTTGTCTTAGGCCTCCCGCGTGTCTTGCAGTCGTTGCCGCCTTCGCTTGCCCTGTCCGCCGTGCGGTCCCTGCGTCGAGGGTCGGCTGCGCGCCACCCCTCACTCCTCCTCCCTTCGTCCGGCCACCGAGCCTTTTGAGACGCTCCACTTGGATGTCTGGGGCCCCGCCTCTCGCCTTGGCCCTGAGCGTGAGCGTTTCTTTCTGGTGGTCGTTGACGACTACTCCCGCTACACCACAGTGTTCCCCCTGGCAAAGAAGTCTGAGGTGACTTCTACGCTGATTAGGTGGTTGCTTACCACTGAGGACACTCGTGGTCGTCGTGTCAGCTGTCTTCACTCCGACCGCGGGGGTGAGTTTCGCTCCGGCATTCTCGCTGGATTCTGTCGCGAGCAGGGCATTCGTCAGTCCTGGACGCTTCCAGAGTCCCCACGGCAGAATGGGGTTGCTGAGCGCCGCATAGGCTTGGTCATGGAGATCGCCCGCACCTCCTTGACTCACGCCCGTGCCCCCCATTTTCTGTGGCCCTACGCGGTTAGGTACGCCGCTCACCAGCTGAACCTCTGGCCACGCGTCTCTCGGCCAGAGGCTTCACCGACCAGTCTTTGGACCGGGTCCCCTGGTGTTGCGTCGCGGTTTCGTGTCTGGGGTTGCTTGGCTCTTGTCCGCGACACCTCCGCAGACAAGCTCTCGCCTCGCGCCGTTCCCTGTATCTTCCTTGGTTTCCAGAGGACTCCTCTGACTTCACCTTTTACCACCCTCCCTCTCACCGGTTCTTTGACTCCCGTGACGTCCGTTTCGAGGAGTCCACCCCCTACTACGTCAGGTACCCCAGTCGAGGTCTCCCGGTTCCTCCTCCCCCTCTCTTCCTGACTTCCGCTCCCCCTCCTACTCCCCCGGTATAGCCTCCCCCCCCTGGTGTAGCCCCGTCAGGTGTGTCCCAGGCTACTCCTCCCCTTTCGGTAGCCCCTCAGGTGCAGCCTCCTTCCCCGCAGTCCTCCTCGCAGCCTGCTGCAGACCCTGCGGGAGCCGGTGTTCGTGGAGAGGGCCCTGCAGGTGCTAGCTCTAGAGGGGTTGGTGCTGAGAGCGCCCCTGTGCCAGTTTCTGGTTCTGGGGGTGCTGGAGTTGGAGCTGAGCCCGTGGTTGCAGGAGACTCGTGTCTTCCGGGAGCTGGTGTTGGTCGCGCTGACTCTGGGGGTGCTACGTCTGGGGGTGCGTGTGCGCCCCCTTCGGGTCCTGGTGAGCCTGGCGGTGTTGCTGTTGGTGGTGCTGACTCTGGGGGTGGTGCGCGAGGTGCTTTGGAGGCCGGTCCTGGGACTGCCGCAGCCCCGGACACTACTCCTCCCCCCCACCCCTACCCGACCCGGCACCAGGCTCGTGTTCGCCGTGCCCGTGAGGAGCAGCTGGAGTTGGAGAGAGAGGAGCGAGAGTTGCAAAAGCTGGAGCAGCAGCAGCAGCAGCAGCAGTTGGAGCCGCCGCAGCATCAGGAGGTACAGCAGCAGCTGCAGCAGCAGCAGCAGCAGCCGCCTCCTCCTCCTGTCTCTGGTCTTCGGACCCTCGGTCTCCCCTCTCCCTCTCCTTCCTCCTCCCCCTCTCCTCCCGTCTCTGGTCCTCCGCTTCCTCCTCCTGACCCCTCCCCAGCTGTTCTCCCTCGTTCTCAGCCTCTGTTGTCCCCTCCTCCTTCTCAAACTTGGGCTTCTCGTCGCTCTCCTCGTGCTCGTCCCTCGTCCCCTGTTCCCGTCACTGACCTTCGTACTGCCCTCTTTCGTTCTAGTCCGCCTCGTTCGTCTCCGTCTGTGCTTCCGTCTCCTCCTGAGTCGGCCCTCACTGCTTCCCTCTCTACTCCTGTCACTGACTACTACCACACGTACCGTCCTGTTCTCTCTCGTGTTCTCGCCTCTCTTGTTACCCACCCTCGTGCCTCTGTGTCCTCTGTCTCCGCTCTTACTGCCGCGGTCACTGAGTTTTCCTCTACTCGCCGCCTTGACTACGCCACCGATCTTGAGGCTGCTCCTCCTACCAGTCCTCTGGCCGTCGGGGGTGAGTCCGCCCTTGGCTGTGACACCTTACAGGACAGGCAGTTTGAGCTAGAGTTCCTGGCAGCCGCTTCCCCTCATCTCTGTGCCATGCTGCTCGCCCCTGAGGGAGACCCCGACGCCCTTGACATACCAACTCCTCGCACTTACGCTGAGGCAGTGTCAGGGCCTTGGGCCTCTCAGTGGAGAGCTGCCATGGACGCAGAGATGGCCTCCTACAGATCCACAGGCACCTACGTCGACAAGGTTCCCCCTCCTGGGGCGAACGTAGTCGATGGCATGTGGATCTACAGGGTGAAGCGGCCACCGGGATCTCCTCCGGTCTTCAAGGCGCGCTACGTGGCTAGAGGTTTCAGTCAGCGCGAGGGAGTTGACTTCTTTCAGACCTTCGCGCCTACCCCGAAGATGACCACTCTTCGGGTGTTACTGCACATAGCAGCACAGAGAGACTACGAGTTACACTCTCTCGACTTCTCCACTGCTTTCCTTCAGGGTAGACTACACGAGGAGGTCTGGCTGTGTCGTCCCTCTGCCTTCACTGGCACTTTCCCTCCTGGGACCCAGTGGAGGCTGAGGCGACCGGTCTACGGTCTTCGTCAGGCTCCTCGTGAGTGGCACGACACTCTTCGTTCTACCCTCTCTGACCTTGGGTTCCAGCCGTCTTCTGCCGACCCGTCGCTGTTCGTTCGTCGTGGCTCCACACCGTTCTTTGTTCTTGTCTACGTCGACGACCTCGTTTTCGCCACTGCTGACAGGGTTGCCTTGGCAGACGTGAAGTCCGAACTGCTGAAGAGACACACGTGCACTGACCTTGGTGAGCTGCGCCACTGCCCTGGCCTGCAGATCACCAGGGACAGAGCTGCTCGCACCATTACGCTTTCACAATCACACATGGTGCAGCAGGTCCTTCAGCGGTTCGAGCTTCAGCACTCCATAGTACAGTGCACACCTCAAGCTGTTCACCACAGACTTACTAGACCCTTTCGTGACGAGCTGTTTGAGTCCAGTGGTCCCTACGCAGAGCTAGTGGGCTGCCTCATATACCTGATGACTTGTACTCGCCCGGACCTCGCCTTCCCTCTCAGCATCCTTGCGCGCTTTGTTGCGCCAGGGAGACACCGTCCTTTTCACTGGACGACGGCTATGGGGGTGTGTCAAATGTTGTAGCCTGTAGTGAGGTTTGTCTTAGGGGGTACAGATGTTAGGGTTTTTTTATTTGTACCCCAACCCACATCAATGAACAAAACACTTCTGTTCTTGACAGCCAGCCCTATACTGAAATCAGGGAAATCAGTAAAAATTATACAGGTAACATAGGGCCTGACTGTTGTGCAGACTCATTGAATAGTCTTGTCTTTAAGGCCCAGATGAATACTTCGAAATAAGCAGGGTTCAATAATTGAAAATCCAGGAGCCCATGGCCCACAGGTTTGAAATATTAGACTAATCATCCAGTAAATAGATGATCCCTGACTGAGGGATGCACAAAGCCGAGCGCATATCTCCAAAAACCGTCCCTGGTGTCAGCTCCCTGGCGGATAACAATGGGAGAGCAAAGAGGAGAGGATGACAGTAAAGCAGTATCTTAGATTGGAGCAGAAAAGGAAGTAGAAAAGCTAGTACAAGAATGCAGATGGAGAACAACAATAACTTACGATGCATATTCTCCAAGCCGCCCTTCGTTGACGTATTCTTCAAACACAGTGCCTTTACAGTTATCTGTTGGGTAAATTCTGTATCTTGCGCAAGGCGCACCGCCGTTGCCAGTGTCTCGAAGATATCTCACAAATGTGGCCTTTCCCGCCACTGCATCTGGAAGCTGGGTACAGCCTGTGGAGTTGAGGCGGAAAGTGTAGGGTCGGGAAGCCTTGTCCTTGGCTGTTGGATCAGCAATGACTGTGAAGCTGAAAGAAGAGCCCAGTTCATTACCTGCGAAGGAGTGGCACAAGGAACGACTCATTGCAACGTCAGTTGCATGTTGTAAATTCATCGCCTTGATCGGACATGCATCGCCACGATGTTTAGATAACTTAGGCCACCATCAGGCATCTCGCAAGCTCGGCATTGTGAGGAAAATTGAAGCAGAGGGGCGACTGGCTAATGGGGAGAGCAGAGAGAATGAAATGCGAATGTTCTCTGGAAACTCACCCCAATAACAGCCTCTCGGGGTCAACCCATATCCGTCAGGGCAGGCGCAGTAAGTCATATTCACTATGTACTTGATATATTCACGTTTTTGTGTGCAGGTGCTTCCACGGGGGCAGGTGCCACAGGAAGAGGCTGAAGAACGCAGAACACAAGGGAGAAAGGGAGAAGCAAGACATGGCAGAGAAACGGTGGGAGTTTTATGGGTAAAGGGTTGGCAAGGGTGGGGTGTGACATGTCAGTGGGTTTGCTAGAAGGGGATTGTGGCTTTGGTAGTGCGAAAAAGAACGAAACACAGTGCTCCCTCGCTCTCCTAAGGTGGACACATTCCATACAAAGAAATGGGTTTGAGGTGTGACGCGAGAGGTGTCTTTCGAATGGATGAATGGTCTCTGACATACGAACGTGTGGGTTGAAGTGAGAGTGGAAAAGCGGGACAGCCATGCTCACCCCACTGGCAGAAAAGCTCTCCGCTCTGATCCAACTGACAGGAGCCATCGGGGTCACAGCCCAATGCTGCACACCCAGAATCTGCAGCATACAGGCAAGAAGAGGGGCAAAATTAAAGTTGTGAAAAGGCTTAGAGACGACATGAGGGCAAAAACAACGTGGGCAGCACGTGACCCTCAGAGGAAAGAGGGCTTCATTTCAATAGCATATGCTGAAGTTGTGACCATGTGTGGCCCCGAAAAACGCCTTATCAACCTTTGGTTGTATGATTGGCTTACTTGCCACAGATAAAAGGCATCATTGCTAAAAACCAAGCAGCATCATTTCGTCGCTGAAAAATAAATGGGATCTCAAAACTAGAATCCAATGTAGCGGGCAGGGTCGTTGCACTCAGAACCAGAATCTTCAAAAGCACACTTTCCAAAATACGCCATTCAGAATCACACTCACAAACTCTCTAGAATCACGCACTTCAGAATCGAACTCACACGCTCTTCAGAATCACGCCCTCAAGAACGCAAATCCCCCTTTCAGGGAGTCAGCAATGGACGCACCTATGGGATCATCGCAGAGAACCGATGCCACTGAAGACCACTTGCGGATGTCCTTCGCTGTGCTTGGGAACCTGAAAGGCGTCGATAACAAAGCACCTCACATTGAGCTTAAAAAAAAAAGCGAGAGAGGAAAAAAATACGGTCTTTATCTCCTCCCTTCCCCTCTGCATGCATCCTCTCCTCTTCCTACTAAGACAAGCAATGCTCGTGTTCTCTTGTCATGCCGCACACGACCCAATCTCACATGAACACACGGCCCGAACTCACATGGATACACGACCCGATCTCGCATGGACACACGGCCCGAACTCACATGGATACACGACCCGATCTCGCATGGACACACGGCCCGAACTCACATGGATACACGACCCGATCTCGCATGGACACACGGCCCGAACTCACATGGATACACGACCCGATCTCGCATGGACACACGGCCCGAACTCACATGGATACACGACCCGATCTCGCATGGACACACGGCCCGAACTCACATGGATACACGACCCGATCTCGCATGGACACACGGCCCGAACTCACATGGATACACGACCCGAACTCACACAGACACACGACCTCGACTCACCCAGGCGTGAGCGGGTTGGGGACGCTGTCCAGCGCCGGGCCTTTGCAGCCAGATTTACCGAAGAACTTGACCTGCGCGCACTGACCACCCGCCGACGCGCTGCCCGAATCCCCTCCGCCCTTCCACCACACCGTCGCGCTCTTCCGCCGTGCCTTCTTGGCCACGCTCACGCACACCTGCTTGGTGAAGTCCAGCCGCGTCTTGCCCACCACCACCGCCGTGGCAACCTGCACGCCGGGGGTGCTGGGGGTGGTTGTGAGCGCCCTCCTCGCGTTGACCTTCTCGCTCGCAGCTCCACCCTTGCTGCCGCCGCCGGTGGTGGTCGAGAGAGCCCTCCTCGCGTCGCCATACGCTGCCTTCGTCATCCCGGCCGCTGCGAGAACAAGCGAGAGACGTGCGCGGAAGAGATATGAGAGCAGCGAAAAGAAGAGTGGGGATGTACGTGGAAAAATGGGGTGCTCGAAAACGGAGGGAGAAAGGGGGGGGGGGGGGGGGGGGGGGGGGGGGGGTAGGCACGTGTAGCTACAATGTCCAACCAAAGGGCATTTTTGGGATGGGATAACGCACCCCACGAGTCACTGCATGCACGGTCTTCAATAATACTACCGAAGAGAGATAAAGAGGCCACAGGAAGATCTATCGTATGCTTGTACCTATACTACGTTTTGTATCAATGCACGGACCGTTTGAAAGAGAGACTGACCGCAAATGAGGGCAAGTGCGAGGAGAAGGGGGCCGGCAGGTGAGGCGCCCGCAGGAGTCATCCTCATGGTGGCGACAGATGCGCTCCGCCCGCAGCAAGGTTTCAAATGGGCTACACTCGCAACAATGCTTCCACTAGAATTATCGCGGAAACGACGGCGCCGGCAAGTGGTGCAACGGAGCCTGTGACGTGCGAGTCAGGTGGTGAATCACGCGGAGAGTGTATAGTGCGAATTGCAGCGCGGTCCTCCCTTGGGAAGGACACTCCAATGCAAGTACAAGGCGAGTCCAGTACAAGCGATAAAGGAGAATGCGATAAAGGAGAATGGTAGAATGGCCGGCGCGATGGAAGAATCGCAAGCTTGCTTTGGGCTTAATGTGCTGGGCTGGTGGTTTATAGAGCGAAGTGTGCAGCGTGACAGCTGCCGCGCCATGGCAGCGAATTAGGCTCGCGATATGTGTTTGGCTTGCATCTTGAGTCGCGAATAGGTTGAATTCGAGGAACGCGATTCGTGCGATGAATTCTTTTGCGGAGCCTTCCGTGCGACGTGGACGGTGCTTGACTCGCGTGAGTCGCGGGGAAGAAAGGAGGAGAAGCGATGGACTATCATTCGCAAACCAATCGCACAATGCGCTGGCTTCTGGCAGGACCATTTCGTTTCGTCACTTCCAATCAGGTTTCGACAATCTCGTTGACCTAGCAGCTGGATTATATGGCCGACCATAGTGCGACCTAGATTCGTTATAGCCTATCCGTTTGAAGACTGGCTATTCGAGAGACGCGTTCGTCGTTGCGAATCTGACAAACCAGATCAGAGTATACGAAGTTCGCTCCAAACACTCCAACACTAGGCTGAAGGTGTGGGTGGGCGGGAAAAAATTGTGGTGGTGAGAGTCTACGGAGACGATTCAAATGCACACAGATCCAACGGCCACCTGCATGCAGAACGCGTTATTTGCTCTCCCACATGCGAATCTGTTTCCAGCGTCATCCACGGCCATCAATGTTGGGTCCAATAATTCACGGTGAGAAACAAGTGGAGTGGACTCCCTTGATTGATTACAGTACCTGGGTGTTGACGTGGTAACGCGCCGTCTTTCGATTTCAGCCCCCACCTCAACAACAGCAAGCCCTTGTACTTGCATCGCACGCCACTTCTCTTGTGTATGCAACCTTTCCTTCCAATAATTCCCGAGGAAATCCGCAACACACACCCATCTTTCTACGCTTACATTGCAATCCATGGTATTGTCCTTACGAAATGCTCTTGGAAACCGTTATACATTTGAACCTCGCTACACCTCTTTGCCTTCCTTTGATCTCACTCGTTGTCGTACTAGCGCTCGCGACCATTTCCCTATTCCGCGTCACGACGGTACGAGAATTTCGCGGCGCGATACCTGAGCGAGGGAGCAAAAGCGATTTTTTTTTTCCACTTCAGCCACAACGTCCCTTCCAATTCGGGAATCATTCTAGTAACCTCTCGTCAGCGTCGCAACGAAAAAACGAGCCAACCAATTGATCGGAGGCCGCGCGGCTCGGCGCGCTGCTCTCAAACGGAAGCCGTTGCACCGTTAGACGCGCGATGCGCTGCTTTCAAGCGATGTTTTTTCTGGTTTTCGCGACGATCCTCTCATCGAGCCTCCCGCTGCACACTGCACAACCTGAAGGTGGTCTACACAGTTTGTGAACTCTTAACCAGAGCAACTCACAGGTTGTGCAGGCGAGTGAGACTCACAGGGCGTGCAGGCGAGTGAGATAGCTCAGCATGTGGGGAACAGTTCCGATGAGAGAACAGCTTGAGAGATTGCTGTAAGCAGGAGGATGGAGACGAAAAAAAGAGGGAAAGAAGGGGGAGTTAAAATGGGGAGAAAGTGAGCGGACTTACTCCTAAACCACCCATCCTTTCTTCTTTCTTCCACCCACCTTCCTTCCACCCACCCACTCTCCTTCCACCCAGTCTTCCTTCCACCCAATCTTCTTCCTTCTATCTACCTTCCTTCCACCTTCCACCTTCCACCCACCTTCCTTCCACCTGCTCCCCACCTGTCTTTCATTTCCATCAACACGCTGCAGTGCAGACGCGCTTACAGGGTTGTGAGGCGAGTCAAGAGGCCGAGGGACTTGGAATGGAGGAGGAAAAGCCGTTTCTGGACAGGTTCCTGTAATGAACGCGGGGAGAGAAAAGGGCGGGGAGGGGGGGGGGGGGGGAGGGGAAGGAAAGGGAGAGGGGGGGGGGGCGAGAGGAGGGAGGGGATAGAGGACGACAAGCCTTTCTTGGACAAGTTATTTCAGTGCACGCTTTCGAGGTGGAGGAGCGAGATGGGGCAAGGAAACGCAGAAGAGAAGTCGTGTCAGAAATGACAGATGTTTCGTTCTTCTGGTGAAACGACGGGCTGCCGATATGGTTGTTGACTTAACGGTTATAACATAGCACGCTGCTGCTGCTGCCCGTTAATAATAAAAAAAAAACACTGAAGTCAATGCGCCACCAGGTTCGAGACTTAGACTGGTTCTTCCCTCGAAGTGTGAGGCGAGCAAGCAAGTTACATTGCTTTGAGCTTACATCGCCTCGAGTCTCGTGAGAAAGCCAAGGCTCCACGGCATGCTGCCAGTCAAGCTGTTGTTGCTCAGATCACTGGGTGGTGCGAACCACAACAACGTGAATCCAACAACGTGAATCCTCAAGGTGAGTTACACAACTTATGGTGAAAGAAACAGTAGAGTAACAAACAGGTTCACTTGCTTTGAGTACACTAAACTGCAGCAGCAACAGCAGCAGCAGCAAACCAAAGAGCATTCTCGCCCTGCCAATCTTGTGGCTTACAAGGGGTGAGTGAGCGTGATGGCTCAGAGCTTTACAGGGCGCAAAAGTGTTAGAGGGGTAGGACTATGAGGAATGCAAGGGGGGGAAATGGTATGAGTGTGACAACTTCAAATATAAAATTGTGTGAGGGTGGCGGCTTACAGGGTGGTGAGCGACTTGAGTCCTCCAAGGGAGGCTGGAACAGTTGAGTTCAGAAGGTTGGACGAGAGATCTCTGCAGTAGAAAAAAAAAACAGGAAGCGCGTATGGCCTTGAACACACCGTCCTGGTCATCAAACAGGCGTGCTGTGGAAGGGAAGAGTCAAGAGAATGCGTCAAGATCCAAGGGAAGCCCAGAAGTGAAGCCAGATAAAAGTAAACGTATCGACCGAATGGCTCATGGAAGGGAACCATGGACCTACTTCCACTCCTAGCCCATGGAAATGCAGGTGTGCAAGTCCCCCACGGATGCGTGAAAGACATGGAAGGGAGGGGGGCTATGAACTTCCCTCCTTCCATTCCATCCCTTTTTCCATCCAGAGGCCGACCGACATGGGTCCGTGCAACGAGCTGTCGCTCAGGTCTCTGGCAGGGCATGAAGGGAGTGCGCAGAGAGGAGAAACATGGGCTTTAAGATGACTCAAAGATGCTCACACACGTCCTGCTCACCCACCCTCAGGCATGCTCACACGCGCCCTGTTCTTGTCAACTCAAGCCCCTCAAATCGCCCCAAGCTGCCGACTCACAAGTGTCTTAGCTGCGTCAGCAGGCTGAGGAAAGACGGCATGGTGCCCCATATGGTGTTATGACTCAGGTCGCTGCATGGAGGAGGAGAAGAGGAGGGGTAGGGAAGGAAGGAGGGAGATAGTGGGAGGAGAGAAAGCAAAGAGAGGAGGGGTGGTGTGAGGGGCCGATGGAGGGAGATGAAATTGATGGATGGGGAAGAGATTGCAGAAGGAGAGAGCGGGAGGGAAGGCTGGGAGGGGAGGGAAACGGGGGAAATGAAGTTGGAAGGCAATGAAAGCGAGGGCAGGGTGTGGAATAGGGAGGGGAGGGGAGGTGGGGAGCAGAGGGGAAGGAGGGGAGAGAGAGTGCGAGCTTACAGGAGAGAGAGGGAGGTGAGAGCACTGAGTGTTGAGGGGATGGAGCCACTTAGAGAGCAGTTCGCGAGGTTGCTGGATTGGGAGAAAACACAGGTGGCAGAGTAGAGAGTAAGGAAGAAATTAGGGATATCAAGAGATGAAGGCAACAGATGAATTAGGCAAAATGGAGGTGAACTGTCACAATTGAGGCGCCCCCAAAAACATACAGTTTGGCACAATAGATGAAGTAGACACAATGAAGACGGGCTGTGTCATGGTATGGGAGATGAGGTGCCCGTAGAAGAGAACAGCAAGAGTAGGTGGTGAGGCTCACAGGAGAGTGAGAGTGGTGAGGCTGCCAATCTCAGGAGGAATGCTGCCGTTCAGCGGTGTGTTGCTCAGGTTGCTGCTCATGTGAACCATGCCCATGCCATGACATACCATGGAAGGCATGGCATGTCAAGCCGTGCCGCACGTGTCACACCCATATGGCATAACGTCAAACATCACATGTATTGTGTGTCAATGAACAGACAGGATGATGATAACACTTGACAGCATGCTACCGTGGTAACATCATACGCATGTGAGGCATGGCAGCAGAATGGGATCCAGAAGTTGCAGATAGAAGTGAGCAGCAGACCAAGGTAAGTTAGCGTGCCTATTGCCACGACCATGCCTCACATTGCCACCGCCGTGCCATCGCTGTCACAAGTCACCCCTTGCACTTGGCTGCAGTCCCCCCCTCCACTCCACCCTGTGGGCGCCATTCCCC